TCCGGCTACAATTGCAAATTCATCTATCTATAAGAATTTTTCTCTATGTTTATACAGGGATTTGTTTCAGACATTTGTCATTAGATATATAAACAAAATTTATTTATTTATTTTTATTTTTGAGATGGAGTCTCACTCTGTTGCCCAGGCTGGAGTGCAGTGGCACGATCTCGGCTCACTGCAACCTCCGCCTCCCAGGCTCAAGCCATTCTCCTGCCTCAGCCTCTTGAGTTGCTGGGATTATAGGCACATGTCAATATGCCTGGTTCATTTTTTGTATTTTTAGTAGAGATGGGGTCTCATCATGTTGACCAGGCTGGTCTTAAACTCCTGACCTCAGGTGGTCCGCCCACCTCAGCCTCCCAAGGTGCTGGGATTACAGGTGTGAGCCACCATACCCAGCCAACACTTACAATTTTTATGTTCTCTTGACCAAATGACCCTTTTATCATTACAAAAAAACAAAACAAAACAAAAAAAAACTCTCCTTGTTTTTATTCCTGGTAATGTTCTTTGCCTTGAAATCTACTTGGTCTGACATTAAAATAGTCACGTTAGCTTTCTATTTAGTAGGTGTCTCTCTCTCTCTCTCCTTTTTTTTTTTTTTTTGGGGTTATAATAATTTCAGACTAACTATTGCAAACATGTCCCAAAAAAGTTATGAGATATTAATGAAATAAAACAGCAGCCATGGGAATAATTTCCTCTTTCACTTAGCAATGACGGATAAGGAGTTTACTTAGTAGGTTATATACAGAAATTGGTTCTAATAAAAACAAAATATACAGAATATGCTATCCAACGCCAGCAGAATACATTCTTCTCAAGCACACAGAACATTCTCCAGAACAGAGCATGTTAGGCAACAAAACAAGTCTTCACAAATTTAAGAAGAGTGAAATAATATTGAGTATCTTTTTCTGACCACAATGGCATGGAAATATAAATAAGTAATGAAAGGAAAACTGGAAAATTCACAAATATGTAGAAATTAAACCACACATACCTGATCAACCATTGAGTCAAAGAAGAAATCAAAAGAGAAATTTAAAAACAATCTAGATAAATGAAATTACAACACACCACAATTTATGGGATTCAGCAAAAGCAGTACTAAAAGGGAAGTTTATATGATAAATGATTGTATTAAGAAAGAAGAGGGCCAAGTGTGGTGGTTCATACTGTCTGTCCAAGAAAAAAAAAAAAAGAAGAGTCTCAAAATAAAAAAAACAAAGATTATATCTTTAAGAAATTAGAAAAAAAAATGAAATAGAGACTAGAAAAACAACAGAAAAGCTCAAAGAAACTAAGAATTTTTTTAAATAAAAAGATAAAATTGATAAATCTTTAGACTAACTGAGAAAAGAGAGGGCTCTAAATTAGAGCTGGAAGAAGAGAGTAAAAATAATGCCACAGAATTATAAGGGATCTTAAAAAATACAATGATATATACATATGCCAACCAATCAGATAACTTACAAGAATACATTACTCAATATATACAATGTATCAGGACTGAATCATGAAGAAATCGAAAATAGGAGCAGACCAGTAACAACTAAGGCGATTGGATCAGTAATCCTCCCAACAGAGAAAAGACCAGGACTAGATGGCTTTGCTAGTGAAGTCTACCAGACATTTTAAAAGCAATTAAGCCAATTCTTTTCAAGCACTTAGAAAGAACTGGAGAGAAGAGATCACTTCCAAACTTATTTTGCAAGGCTGGCATCACCCTGATACCAAAGCCAGACAAATGTACCCTAAGAAAATAAAATTACAGGCCAGGTGCAGTGGCTCACACCTGTAATCCCAGCACTTTGGAATGCCGAGGGGGGCGGATCATGAGGTCAGGAGATCGAGATCATCCTGGCCAACATGGTGAAACCTTGCCTCTACTAAAAATACAAAAATTAGCTGGGCATGGTGGCATGTGCCTGTAGTCCCAGCTACTCAGGAGGGTGAGGCAGGAGAATTGCTTGAACCCGGGAGGCAGAGGCTGCAGTGAGCCGGGATCGCATCACTGTACTCCAGCCTGGGCAACAAAAGTGAGACTCTGCCTCAAAAAAAAAGAAAAGAAAGAAAAGAAAATTAGAGACCAACATACCTGATAAACATATATGAAATAATTTGCAGCAAAATTCTAGCAAACCACACTCATTAAAAGGATTATACACTATAATCAGGTGAAATTCATCCAAGGAATGCAAGGATGGCTCAATATATGCAAATCAATAAATGTGATAAACTACATTATGAAAAGGAAGGCTAAAAATCAAATGAATATTTCAATAGATGCAGAAAGAGCATTTGACAATCTTTGTGTTCATGGATTGAAAGAATATTGTTAAAATGCCTACATTATCTAATGCAACCTATGGATTTAATGAAATCCCTACCAAAATCCCAATGGCTCTTTTGACAGAAATATAAAAAAAAATTCAAAAATGTATATGGAACCACAAAAGACCCCATATAGTCAAAGCAATCTTAAGAAGAACAAAGCTGTAGGCATCACATTCCTTGATTTCAAAATATATTAAAAAGCTATAGTAATTAAAATAGTATTGTGCTTACATAAAGACAGACACATAGATCAATGGAACAGAACAGAAAGTCCAGGAATAAATACAGGCATATATGATGAACTGATTTTAAGAGGGGTGTTAAGAACACACAATGGGAAAAGGATGTCTTCAGCAAATGGTCTTGAGTCAAGCGTTATATCCACATACCAAAGAATAAAACTGTACCCTCACCTCATGTCACATATAAAAATTAACCAAAAACGAGATATCTGAAAATAACTTTATTCTGTTTTCACACTTGTCTAATAATTTGGTTGAGAATATTATTCTGACTTGGATATAATTTCCCTTCCAAAATTTGAAGGTATCCCCACATCTATTAGCTTTCAGGACTGCTTTGGAGAAGTGGAAATCTATTCTGACTCCTGATCTTTGACTGATAACCTGTTTAATACCTGATCCTGGAAGTCTGGGTTGTATTTTCCTTGTTCCCTGTGATACGAAGTTTTATGATGGTGTGCCTTTGTGTGGGTCTATTTTTAGCTGTGTGTGTGGTACTTGTGGAACCTTTTCAATTGTAAAACTAATGTCCTTCAGTTCTTGGAAATTTTCTTTCTGGGACTCATTTGAGTGAAGTATTTCCTAGACTAATTGTGATATATGTCTTGGAACCAAATAGGTGAAGAGGGCTGGAAAGTTCTCAGCCTTTAACTTCCTCCCTGTTTTCAGCTATGATTAGTATGTCCCAATTTAAAGAACCTATGTTTCACCTTGTCTAGAAAATAAACCTCCAGTAGTCTGCTGGGGTGACGAAGGGAAGTCATCTGTCTTCACAGAGGAAGGGAACTGAAGATCTAACTCCTGGAGACTTCCAACAAATCTTCCTGTTTTTAGCCTTATATTCAACCCCAAGGATACTAATTATCATGTCTTTAGGGGATTTCAGAATATGTATCAGGTTACTCCACAGCTTTCCATACTGCTAAAGAATTTAGCTTTTTCAAGAGTGCAATCAGTTATCACCCATCTGCTTTTCAGTTTCCAAAATTTTACTGCTATTCCTTCCTAGCTCATTTTCTTTGCCTTTGTAAGTTTATGCTTTTGAATATTCTACTTCTGTCATTTTAGTGGTATTTCAATAGAGAACAAAAGTAAGGGTGTGTATTCAATCAATTATCTTTACCCTGAAGCTGTATATACTCATATATGATATGACTCTTGTTTGCCCTCTTTGGGATTCTTTCCTTCTTTTTCCTTTTCAGCTTGTTCTAGCACCTTACATTTGACTTCTTCACTTATCTTAACTGGACATAATATGGAAAGCTTGACATTATAAACAAATTTTATTGTTTACTGTTCATTGATAGTCTAAACTAAAATGAATCTAAAATTTGCAACTCTGTCATTCCTTGTCTAAGATCATATTCAAATAAGTTATATTTTATTTCAGAGTGATATTTACCACATCACAGTTTGTAGTTTACAAATTAGTTTCATTTATAGCATCACATTTAATCCCTAAAAACCCCACTGCAAGGATGAGCCATTTATACACCATGTGAAAAAGAAAGGGTTAAATAATAGGTCTGCAATCCACTCTCTCTCTAGGGAGAGAGGAGGATATGCCCAGGAAATACAGACCTGGAGAAATCTCTCTGAAATACTAACAACAAATCTCCTGGAAAAAAATAAATGATATCTGTTAGCTACAGAATCCTTATTTATATAATTATTATTTACATACTTTTAGTAGGATGTAACTGAGATTGTTTATGGTAAACAAACCTGGAATCTATGGATTAATGGGGCATAACTCCCTGGAAAATGTAACTATCCAAGCATAAAATGAGTATGTATTATGACCAAATCAACTTTCTTTGGTGTAAGTAATAAAGAAAGTTCTTACATTAATATTAATCAGAGTGGGTTCTGAAGCAGAAAGGAAATACCTGGGGAGCTGTATTGGCATGCCTAGAACTCTCTGCTTTGCCTATGCCTCATGATCACTTGTATACTTGAAATTATTAGTGAAGCTTGATACTGGCTAAGATCGCTGATCTGCATGAGCATGATTTGACAATCCAATATCTTGTGTTATCCTACAAGGCAGCTGAGCCTCAGAGTGCTTAGGCAACTTGGTGCAAATCATGTGCCAAAACAAACTGCCAAATAGGACTAGGAACCAAATCTTAAATAACATTTTTTCAGCCATTTGACACACATTCTAATGTGATGGGAGGAAAACAGCAACAAAAAACATGAGCTATGTTCAGAAATAGACTTGCCTCCTGGATCCATAACTGATTAGCTGTTCAATCTTAGGCAAATAACTTACAATATTTAAAACTCATTTCCTGTGCAGTAGCTCTTAGATAAACTATAAAAGAGCTCTTAATAAGTATAATGGATAAGCATGACATAATATGACAGAACATTCACAAACATTTCTAAAGAATGAAAAAAAATACTGCTTACTTTTTTCCTGTAATGCTTGCAATTTATTCAGTTCTTCATTCTCTTCATCACTATCTTCACTACTTGTACTGCTGACATCCAAAACTATGTCCCTTTTAGGGTCTACTCGGAGAAAATTGCGGCATTCAAAAGTCAGGTGACCAGCTAAATGAAACAAACAAAAAAATGTGACTGATAAAACTATAGATACATTATATATTTTTGTACGTTTTGTTGCTTCACTGTAACCAAGAAGTTACAATTTCAATAATGTAGAAAGCTTTAACTTTTATCCAGTTGGTGGTAGTTTGATTATTTTCCCTATACTTTTTCATGAATGTAATACTCAAAGAACTTTTTCCTTTCGTCATCAGAACTCCTTATTCAATAAGCATTTTTTGGAGCCACTTCTTAAGGATTTCAAAGTACTGAGTTATTCTATTTCCCTTTCTAAAAATACAGTAATTTTTAAAATAAGTAAATTTTAAAAATCGCATCATATTTGAAATTTTATACTGTATTCCTTACCCATACTTTTTCTTTCCCAGTATAATTAATATGCTTATGAAATTATATGCCTTTCAATTAATTAAAGTTGACATAATAGACAAGCATTAATACAACTGAATGTGCTTTACTAAAGAATACCTAAACATTTAATTGTTGCATCATTCCTCTAAAGACTCTACCCTATAAGAAAACTACAACAGTTATCTACTTACATATGATATGTTTTAGAAAGTCAAATATTACAAACACCATAAAAGTACAGGAAATAATACAACCAATACCTAAATACCTATCATTCATATATTAACATTTTGGCATACTGTAAATTTGTTTAAGGAAAAAGCTCACTCGCATGCCTGTGCACACATACGCACACAGCTGGAGAGCTTGAATCAACTTCTGGAACACTTTCTCAATCTCATCCCATTTTTTTGGTCCTCTGAAATGACTGCACTGAAGTTGGTCTCTATCATTCCCAAACATTGTGATATGTATTTTTTTTAAAAAAATAACTCAATTATACCTATTATTCTGCAATTTTTTCCCACCACCCAGTATTTTGTGATTTATCTATGTTAACATAAACAGGTATAATTTACTCATTTTATCTAATCGATAATGTTCTACTGTATGAAAATTATATTTATTTATTTATCGTACTATTGATAGAAATGGAGGTTACTCCCAGTAGTTTGCTATTATAAATAATGTTGAAATTAGTTGTACATGTCTCTTTGTGCACATGTACTAGGTTTTCTCTAGGGTTACAGCTTTCAAGTTTTCTTAACAATTGAGAACAATGAAAAATAATGCAACCAAGTGCACTCACACACATATTCATGGATAAATACACTCTAACATACAAAAACTGAAACAAAAGTTACATGAAGTATTTCTACATTCAATGTTGAAAAAAACCAATGCTAATGGTGACCAAATAATTCATTTCACAATCCACTAATGATTCACTACAAGTCTATGCTAGGATTTGTTTCTAGTTCTCTTATTTTGTAGGCGAAAACCTTTGGGAGGCCTAGTTTTATATCAGAGGCTCTCTGATTAGAATTCCAAACTTGCCTGGGCAGGGCCCTGGGCCTTGGTTTTATCCCCTGCATCCTGCCAGCCCATGAAAAATAGAAGTTCAAGAGCCTTGGATTCATCAAATACTCCCAAGGCTTAATTCCTGGAGCTTCTCCTTTCCTTTGGTTGTTGGCCTTTGAATATTCCTTAATTCTTTATTTTCTTCCTGGTATATTAATGTATCTAAAATGTGTACTGCACATTTTATACAAGTTTCTTAGTTGTTTCTTAATCTAGTTTGCCATATTATTAAAACAAGTTTTCCTCACTGTGATTTTCTTTCAAATGAATCATTCAGAAGCACTGTTTTTATCTTCAAAATATGGAGTTTTCAGCCTTTGTGTTTATTGTCTATCTCTAAATTTATTACACTGTTACCTCAGCCTCCCAAATAGCTGGGATTACAGGCACAAGCCACCATACCCCGCTAATTTTTGTATTTTTTAGTAGAGATAGGGTTTCACCATATTGGCCAGTCTGGTCTTGAACTCCTAACCTTGTGATCTGCCTGCCTCGGCCTCCCAAAGTTGATGAGACTTCTTTCGTGGCCTAGGATGTAGTAAACTTAGGAAAGATTAGTTACATATTTTAAAAACGTAGTCACGTACTGCATAACGGTGTTTAGGTCAATGATGGACCACATAGACAACATTGGTCCCATAAGATTGCAATACTGTTCCTTTTCAATGTTTAGATCTGCTTAGACACAAAAAGTACTTACTACTGTGTTACGACTGCCTACACTATTCAGTATAGTAACACGTGGTACAGGCTTGTAGCTTAGCTACAGCAGCCTATACCATGTAGCCTAGGAGTGTAGTAGACTATACATCCAATTTTGTGAAAGTATACTCTATAATGTCCACACAAAGATGAAACTGCCTAATGACACATTTCTCAGAATGTATCCCTATACACAACTATATATTGCTATTTGTTGAAAAGGATTCAAGGTTTGTTTGTTCAACTCTGTTTCATATTAATTTTTTGTCTAATAATTTCTGATAGAAGTACTTAAAATTGTACAAGTATTAATTTGTCAATAATTGCTATTATAAACAATGCTGAAATGAGCAGCTGTACATGTCTCTTTGTGTAGATGCACCAGGTTTTCTCTAGGGTAGATTTGTCAATTTCTCCTTGTAATACAGTTTTTGCTATACATATTTTGAGACATTAGTAAATACTTTCAAGATTATTTTATCTTTTCAGTTTATTGAGTTTGCCCGTATCCCTAGTAGTACTTTTGCCTCAAGAGTCTGAAATTACAATGTTTCTGTTACAGAAGGTAGCTAGTCAGGCATGAGCAGGAGAGGGCTCCCCAACTCACAAGGAACATCAGGCAACTATCAAGTGATGCTCCGGCAGCTGTCACACTGCCTCTCTAAAATGAGAATCAGTCACTGCCAGTGCCAGGGAGAGGCAGTTTCTGAGTAGATAAAAATACCTGAAATTAGGCCAGCCACAGTGGCTAACACCTGTAATCCTAGCACTTTGGGAGGCCAAGGTGGGTGGATCACCTGAGGTCAGGAGTTCAAGACCAGCCTGGCCATCATAGTGAAACCCTATCTTTTAAAAAAAAAAAAAATACCTGAAATTGATCATCAGCAGCTTCCAATAAGATCTCAGGAACTGGGCAAGTGGGCTCAAGCATATACATTAAGATGCAAAATGAAGGAGTATGACCTTCAGGGAGCATATCACCAGAAAAGGGAAGAAAGCCTCAGGTGAACATGTGTACAACTCCAGTAAACACACTGTGCATGCCCACCTCCCAAGCACAAGCAGGACACCACACATAAGGGAAGAATGAAGGGAAAGGGGCACAAGATGCTGGAAGTAGGCCAGCACGTAAAATGCTAGGTTCAAGGTTAAATGGGGCACCTGACCTCAAGGTGCCTGTCTGGGCCTCTTCCAAGTATATTTTCCTTTCTTTCATTCCTGCCTTAAAGCTTTTTAATAAATGTCCACTCTTGCTCTGAAACTTGCCTCAGTCTGTTTTCCTGTCTTATGACCCTCAGTAGAATTCTTTCTTCTGAGGTGGCAAGAATCGAGGTTTCTGCAGACCTGTATGGATTCGCCACCAGTAACTCGAATACCCGCCACTACTAACAGTTCTACTAGTGTTCTTTTGTTTATTATTCGTTGAGTAATATGAAATTGCCATTTTTGTAGGTAAAACAGTGGAATATCAGCAATGTTCAGTCAAATATGTTTTTTCCTTATCCCTTTATTTTGAAAATTTCTCTGTTGTTTTTAGTTTCATGTGTAGTTTTATTAATCACAACATGTAGTTGGACTTAATTTTTTAAATTTGATTTGATATCAGCACAATTTTTAACATCAATTTCTTAGCATGGGAAAATAGTTCCTGCCTATAAGAAGGAAGCAGTGTAAATTCACTCCTCATACCTACATATACTTACAAGGTGTAAGCTGACGTTGCCAATTCTTGATTATTCATTTTCTTCTAATTATTTTATGGAAGCTCAAATATACTATAAGCATTCTTGCTTCTTTCTTTAGGCAGTGAGTGAAATTTCTTGTAATCCTTGCTTCACAGCCTTTTTGAGGAGTCTGACTTTATGTGAGGGGCTCCACCCTTGCCGTACTGCCAACAACAGGGCTTGAAGGCTTCACTCCACGGCTCTCAAAGGCCTACCCATTAGGCCTATGAATCCACTGTTTTCAGCTAACATTCCCTGCTCTGACTTCAAGCTCCTTTTCTTGTCTAACACCTGGGGATTTCCCTTTCATTCTTTTGAGCTGATTTGTTGTTGTTGTTGTTGTTGTTGCTGTTGAGATAACACTTTTTTTCTCCTGCATTATTATGTGTTTGGAGCAGAATGCAAGGCTTTCTAGGTTTGGCTTGCCTCTTTGGTCAGAACTCCTGATGATACAGGCAGGGCACGGTGGCTCACTTGAATCTAGGAGTTTGAGACCAGCCTGGCCAACATGGCGAAATCCTGTCTTTACTAAAAATATAAAAATTAGCTGGGCATGGTGGTGTATACCTGTAATTCCTGCTATTCAGGAGGCTAAGGCACAAAAATTGCTTGAACCTGGGAGGTGAAGGTTGCATGAGCCAAGATTATGCCACTGCACGCTAGCCTGAACAGCAGAGTGAGACTGCTCCAAAAAAAAAAAAAAAAGAACTCCTGATGATACAACCTTTGCTGCTGAATTAAGCTAGCTTTGTACCCAAATACCTCTCATTGAAATAAATGTTTAAATAAACAAAATGCTTAAACAATGACCACACTGTAGCAGTCTCTGCTCCATACCCATTTTAGCTTTGCTTCAAGCAAAGTGACCATAAGGTGATAAGACAAATTAATTGTGAAACTACAAATAAAGTTTCTTACTGTTTTTTTTTTCTATTGGGGAATAAGTTAGAGAAGCCTAGGAAGTAACTGTGTTACAAATTACAGTTCTTATGGCTAGCAATCCAGATGTTCTTGCAGCAAACAATGCAGAAGAAAAAAAAGGTGGAGGGCTCACCCTTCTTGATTTTAAAACTAACCATAAAACTACAGTAATCAAAGAAGTTGGTACTGGCATAAGAATAGACATGCAGACCAAGGGAATAGAATTGAAAGTCTAGAAATAAACGCATACATACATGTGAACTGAGTTTTAGCAAGAGTGCTAAGTCCATCCAGGGTGGAAAGAATAGTTTTTTCAACAGATGGGACAGTGACAACTGTATTTCCACATGGGAAAGAATGTAGTTGAGTCCCTCACCTCAGACCATATGCAAAAATTAACTAAAAATGGGTCAAATAAAATATGAAACCATAAAACTCTTGGAAGAAGGCACAGGAGCAAATGTTCATTACCTTGAATTTGGCAATGGATTATTAGATCTGACAGAAAAAGCACAAGCAACAAAATTAAAAAAAATTGATAAAATGGTCATCAGAATTAAAAACTTCTGTTCAAAGATTATTGTCAGGAAAGTGAAAAGTGACCGAGTGGGGGAATATATTTGCAAATTCTCTATCTGGTAGAGCTTAATATCCAGAATACATAAAAAACAACTGTAACTCAACAACAAAAACACAAGCCAGTTAAAAAATGAGCAAAGGGCTTGAATAGACATTTGTCTAGGGAAGAAATACAAATGGCCAATAAGCATATGGAAAGCTCCTTAACATCATTAGTCATTAAGGATATGCAAAATCAAAACCACGATCAGATACCACTTCATACCTATGAGGATGGTCTAAATTGTTTCTACTCATAACACTTCTGACATCAATTATGTGGGTTTTTTCTACACCAATAGCCAGTTCTCCAACTTTCTAAACACTAACTGGGTGTCATGCAATTCAATTCAATTCTGATACTACCCATGGTTAGCACGAGTTAAGGGCTCAGACCCACAAGACCATTCTCACTTCAGATGCCAATCGCAAGACTGGGTCACAGCTTTATAAAGTCAAGGAGTTCCCACAACCCTTCCTCAAATTTGAAAATTTGCTAGAAAGGCTCACAAAACTCAACAAAACAATTTACTTACTATTACCAGTTTATTATACAGCACAGAACTCAGAACAGCCAAATGGAGGAGATGCATAGGACAAAAAAGGGGCATAGAGCTTCCATGCATTGTGTGTGCCACAACTGCAGCACTCCTATGTGTTCATAAACCCAGCAGCTTTCTGTACCCTGTAGTTTAGGGGTTTTTATGAAGTCCCCATTGGATAGGCATGATTGATTCCGTCATTGACCACTGGTGATTAAACTCAGTCTCTAGCTCCTGATCCCTCTCCCCTTTCTGGAGACCTGGAAGTGGGGCTGAAAGCTCCAACTTTCTAATCACATAGATTGTTCCTCTGGCAACTGTCCCCACCTTGAAATTATCTAGGAGCCTCCCAAGAATGACCTTGTTAGTATAAACTCAGGCATGGTTGAAAGGGGCATGCTATGAATAATAAAAGATGCTCCTATCACCCCTATCACTCAGAAAATTCCAAGAGTTTTTGAAGTTCTGTGTCAAGAACCAGGGACAATGACCAAATATATATTTCTTATTATCACAAATGGCTATTTTTTAAAAAGGCAAATAACAAGTATTGACAAAAATGCAGAGAAGTTAGAGCCCTTTTACATTACTAGTGGAAATGTAAAACGGTGTAGCTGTTATGAAAACCAGTTTGGCAGTTTTTTAGAAAAGTCAACACAGTAATTGTGCTCCTATGCACATGCTCCAAAGAATTGAAAACAGGGACTCAAACAGATACTTGTATATCAACATTCATTGCAGCACTATTCATAACAGCCAAAATGTGAAAACAACCAAGTGTCTATCCACAGAGGAATGGATAAACAAAATGTGCTATATACATATAGGAAATAATTCAGTCATTAAAAGGAATGATGTTATAATACATGCTACAACATGGATGAATTATGAAAACATTATGCTAAGGGAAATAAGCTAGATACAAAAGGACAAATACTTATATGATTCTACTTATATAAAATATCTAGAATAGGCAAATTCACAGAGAACAGACAGAGGTTACTATGGGGAGAGTTACTGGTTAATGATTACAGATTTGGGGCAACGGAAAAGTTGTGGAATAAATGTCTCACTGCAACCTCTGCCTCCTGGGTTCAAGCGAATCTCCTACCTCAGCCTCCCAAGTAGCTGGGACTACAGGTGCATGCCACCATGCCCAGCTAGTGCGTGTGCGTGTGCGTGTGCATGTGTGTGTGTAGTAGAGACAGGGTTTCACCATCCTGAGGCCAGGATAGTCTCAATCTCCTGACCTCGTGATCCACCTGCCTCAGCCTCCCAAAGTGCTGGGATTACAGGCATGAGCCACCGCGCCCAGCAACAGAGCAAGACTCCATCAAAAAAAAAAAAAAAAAGTGGTAATGGTTGTACAACATTGTGAATTCATTTACTGTCACCAAATTGTATAGTTAAAAATGGTTATAATGGCAAATTTTACGTTATATATATTTTAACACAACTTTTTAAGCAAAGTAAATGAAAAGGAGCATGGCATAGGGTTAAATCTTACAGATAACCAGAGTTCGTATCTCAGTTTTCCCACCAACTAACACAGTAACCCTGGGCCTCAGTTTTCTGATTTGTAACAATAACAAAATAACAACAATTATTGAGGACTTACTGAAGCCAGTCATTCATCCAAACACTTGCATGAACTCATTTAATCTTCACAACTCTATGGAATTAGGTACTATAATGATCTCACTTTACAGACAGGAAACTGAAACACAGTGATGAAGCAATTTGCCTAATGTCACATAGCTAGTAAGTGCCAGGAGAGGTTTGTAACTAAGTAATCTGGCACTACAGAGCCACTGGTCTTGAATGTTCATAAAACCGGAGATCATGAAACCTATTCCACAGAGTTGTTTTAAGAATAAAATCCTATCTTCCATGCAGTTAGTACAGAGCCTAGCACCAAATAAGTATTTAATACATGGTACCAGGCTATGATCATTTATTTTACTAATACAAGGAAAAGTATATTCTCCCCTTTCTTCCATCCAGGAGTAGCTATGTTAGCAAATGCCAAGTAATTAAAAAAAAAAAAAAAAAAACAACCTCCAGTTTCATTTTGACTGTGTGAATAAAAATCTGACAATGTACACACATTAAAAAAAACCCTCTTGTTTTATAACTAGGGTACCCAAATGCCTATTTCTGGGATTACAGAATATACAGACTATGCTAACAACTACTAACTTAACCAGACTTTATCTAAAATCCTTAGATTTGAGAACAAACAAATTATTTTATAAGCTTTTAAATTCCCAAACCCAGTTAATTCCAACAAGCTTCCACATCCCTAACATTTTGGTTCCTCCTGGAAAAATGCTGGCCTCTTCTGTAGTCATACACTCTTTCTTGAAGTCTTTTGTTTCTTTGAGAGAGGATCTGGCTCTGTTGCCCAGGCAGGAGTGCAGTGGTGCAATCTCAGTTCACTGTAACCTCTGTATCCTGGGCTCAAGCCAACCTCCCACCTTAGCCTCCCAAGTAGCTGCGACTACAGGTACATGCCACCATGCCTAGCTAGTTTTTGTATTTTTTTAAATTATTATTTGTAGAGATGGGGTTTCACCATGTTGTCCAGGCTGGTTTCAAACTCCTGGGCTCAAGCTACTTGTCTGCCTCAGCCTCTGAAAGGGCCAGGATTACAGGCATGAGCCACTGCGCCTGGCTACCTTCCTTGGAAGTCTTATCCTCATATTTATCTGTTTTATTTCCCCCACTGACCTAGCTGATCATTGCCCCTCTTTCCTAGTCTTTTTTGATAGATTCTTAAACATGTAACTGCCCTATGTGATCAGATAATGTTACCACTACCCTTATGGGATATTTGGCTCTTCCTTGAGGGCATTTCTCTATAGTTAATTATCCTTTACCTCAGTATTATTAGTATTCTCCAGGCTTCTCAATATTGTTTCCAAGTAGTAGTCCTTAAATGTCCATTCAGCTGCCTGCTGCAGGTTGATAGCTCCATTCATTGAAATATTTTGAATCTGGCTCATACTCTAGCTGACAGTATGAGCCAGACATGAGCTTGAATGGACAGTCTAGGTTGTTGGATAGCTTTTCTTGGTTCCCTGACATTCTAGATTTCATGGCCACACTATGGTCCTTTGTCATCATCTGCAACTGTTTTATCACTGAAATTTTAAACTCCAGTATTAAACTCTGACTGTGTCTTTAATCCTTCCAGCTTTTTCATTCATTTATACTCATGCATAGATCTGTTTTTGATTCTCATTATGATCTTCAGTCCCTTAATACCTTCATTTTCTCCCAGTCTTAAATCTCTCATTACTGACAATATGAACAACCTTTTACAAGTCTGACTCTTTTATATACACTAGTTCATCCTCATTGCAGACAAATGAATCTGACTCAAAGTTACCATTTCTCTGGCTTGTTACCCACCCCCCACCACCGCCACCACCCCACAGAGTAGTCAAGCAATGCCTGCGTTTAACAACCACATGTTTATGCATATTAGCATCTTTTATTTGTCCTTAGTCAACTTCCTCTCCTACTTTTCTCAATGACTTTCCCAAACTTGTACTTGCCTCAAAACGCTCATCAGTCACTGTCCTGTCGTACTCAAACTCCCTAAGGAGACTATCCTGTCTTCCAATTTAAAAAGAAAATTGAGATTACCAGGCTGCATCTTCTGCTTTCTGCTTTCTATCTCCACCTGAAAACATCTGTATCTACTGTCATCTAGTTTCTTCCAAACTTCAGGGGTATCCTTGTCATGCCTCTTAGAGGAACTTGCTTATTAATCTTCTCTTATCTCCAGTATTTGCAATATGTCCTCTAATGTTCCCTCAGTCTATACAAATGTTTTATATCTTAAAAAATTTTCTTGAAAATGGAGACTACTTTGGCTTTCTTTACTTCATCTCCCACCACTCAGGCCTGAATCTACACAGTTTGTTTCATGACCTACAACTCTATTTAAACTAATCTTGTTAAGGCAAACAAAGCATCCTACCTGCCAAACCCAATGAACATTTTTCAGTTCATTTCTTACAAACCTTATCTGCTGCACCTGACAATTTCCCCTCAATTTGGAAAATATTTACTCCTTTGCACTCTTGTTTCTTTTGTCATATCTTCCCAGTCACTCTCCCTTGGTTTATGCCTATATTATTCTACTCCACCATTTGATACTTTATGGGGAGCCTGTTCTTGGTTATTCTAAAATATGTTTAATTGAATATCATATAGGTCAGCAAAATATAAATGTGTAGAAAAATAGGTTGGTTGTTTCTAGGAAATAAAAGCTGTACTTTTAGAAAGATTTCAATAAGTGCCTTCAAAAAGCAGTTGACAAATTAGGCAATGGCAATAAGACTATAAAAGGAAAAAAAGAAGCTAAAATAATGGGAGAAGGTACCTGCTTCTCAATGGGACTGCCATTGGCATTTGGGGCCAGAAGATTCTTCACTGTCTAGGACTGTCCTACCATTGTAGGATGTTTATAATCTCTGAGCTCTACATAGTAAGTGTCATAGTGCAACGCCCTGTATCCTGTTGCTGACAAATAAAAAACACCTCTACAGATTTCTAGGGAGGCAGTACCACCTGTGCTTGAGAATGAACGATACATTTCTTTACAAGTATCTTAACTTCTTGCCTACTTTTGAAGCAGCAAACTATAAAAAATAAAAAATAGATAATGCATTTCAGATGTGGTTTACACAAGCAAGACTGAACAGCAATAAACAGACATATAAACAGGCAATTTAAAAAGTGATAAATTTATATTTATGTAAAATGTTAGAGATATTTACATATTTGTTTTTATTTCCTGCTGCTATGATCAACCCGGGTCTACTATACTAATCTTTTAATCATACTTGCTGAGAACTATCATAATTATTTGAGACATTTATCCCACAGATAATCTCAAGGCTTAGTGTCCTTGTAGTTTTTAAATATTCTGACGTTACTAACTTAAAAAAATTCTAATAAAAACTCATTATCGAAATAGCTCTTTTTCTATTATTTCTTTTAAGTTAATTTTGCTAAGGAAATTCTGCCACAGAAAGAGACCTATGTTATTTAATAATATATTCATCCTTAATTTGAAACTTTAGAAAATAACATATCCATTATTAAAATATACTGAGAATAAGATCTTTTTCTATCAAGTTTTGAAATTCTTTGTATCGTACAATCTGAACAACTATTTTCACAACGAGACTATTCTTTTGTAAATAACTGAAAAATACCCATATTTTGAGGCATTAAAAATATTTCAAATGGTCTTGACCTTTCTCTTACCTCTATACAAGCAATACAAAAATTCTGGCCCCCAAAGAAAAGAGAAGCTAATTTGTAAATGCAATTTCTATTAGAAAGACATGTAAGTTGAAAAGGACTTCATCTTTAATAGTTGTAGAGATGTAAATTTAACGCAGAAGGGAAATATTACTAAATTTTTCCACAGGAGACAAATCAGCAATTGTTTATTAACTAAATCACTAAAATCAATTATCTAAATAATAAAGCAAAAATCACTAAATGTGGAAAGATTGACAAAACTATTTGCTGAGTTGGCTTCTCTAAAAGGATTCTAATTACTGCAGATGCTTCCATTGTTGTCTTAAATAAAATAACAATGAGGAGACTGCATCAGCAAAAATTCTACTTCCAGAAAATGAATTTAATTGCTTTCCTCAAAGTCTTAGGTCAAAAGAAGTCCAAGTGTAGAGACTGATATTAGTAGACAGACTGGGAGATCCATTCCAGATTTTGAAGTAAATGAAGCATTTGCAGGTTCTTAATTCTTGACTAAAGAAATGAGGCAGGTAAGTTAGCAATGATACTTAAGTTAGCATGGTTGAAAGGAAGTAAACAAAGCAGAAATAAATATAAAAAAATTTAAAAATAGAAAAGATTTCATTGCACTCACTTCTTGCATGCAAGCACATTCTTCAGTTTTCATTTATGGGATTGATATGTATAGTTATATATGCAATTTTGCTACTTCAGCAAGCTTCCCTTGAGCCAGTTTTAGTTTTGTTTGGAAGTATGTGACTTGTTCTCTCAGCACCCTTTTAACGTGCCCTTCTGATGGACATTTTTGCTGAGTACCCTCTTATCACAAGTTCTTGTATGAACATCTTTTTGTCAAATCACTCTTAGTAAAACTCTTCAATGAATTGGAGTGTATTATCAATCCAGGCTAATTCTCTTGGTCTATAAACAACTTAGAAAATAGCAAATGTTATTATTATAGCTGTTAGTAAAGCTTTAGGAATTGCTATATTTAACTGAAGAATATTTACAGTATAAAATTACAAATTTATATTATATAATTATGCATGCTTAATTTTACCTTTTCATTCCATTAATCATAATATTGTTTAAATCAAATTTTCACCCATGAGCAGAAATTCTGAGACCAATTAAATCTTTAAAGTAAATGTAATAAACACAAAAAAACTTCACAGATAGTTTGCATTGCTTTTACCTTTTCGCCTAGTGTGTGGAAAAGGAGGAAAGAATAAGTATGTATATACGTTTTAAAAAATATACTTTCTCCAAACTCCTAAATCTACTACTAACCACCTGTATCTTCATGGTATTTTTGTTAGTAATCAGATGCATATCTGTTATTTGTCTAAGGCAGGGAAGAAAAGTGAATTTTTAGTGCCAACTCAGGAATTTCTGTAACAACCAGATGTTAGCTTAAGGCTAAAGGACTATGCAACTGGGCCCCTGAAATCAGGAAACTATGTTATATTGCCCAAAGAGGCCATGATTCCAGTATGAATAATGCAAAACATGTCATCTTTTAGAGTACTTACGGTAGCCACATTTTTTACAGCCTGCTCTGACACTGTCCTTGTTGCAACCTGAAATACAATTGGATAGCATTTTAGGAAGTAAATAAATATGCAAAACCTAAAAACTTTATTGCATAAAAAAAATTTTCATACAATTTGTTGTAGCACTCCCTTCTTTTTCTTTCTTTTCTTTTTTTTTTTTTTTTTTTTTTTTTTTTTTGTTGTTGAGACAAAGTCTCAGTGTTGCCAAGGTTAGAGTGCACTGACATGATCACAGCTCACTACAGCCTCCAACTCCTGGCTCAAGTGATCCTCCTATCTTAGCCTCCCAGTTAGCTGAGATTAAAGGCATGTGCCACCACATTTGGCTAACTTAAAAATTTTTTTTTAGAGATGAGGTTGTGCTTTGTTGCCCAGGCTGGTCTCAAACGTCTGGCCTCAAGCGATCCTCCTCTGGCCTCTCAAGGTACTGGGATTATAGGTAAGAGCCACCGCACCCAGCAGAATTTACTTCTTTAAAAAACAGCAACAATAAAAAAGTCATCCCTGACCCAGCTTAATGACCTACTCAATTTTTCTGACTCTTATAAATCAACAGAAAGGCCAATTCACTCAAATTATTTGACAAATACATCAATAACATTTTTTTCTAATTCAATATAATAAAAAAAGAAGACACACAAGGCCAACAAACATAAAAATATGCTCCACATCATGCATCATCAGAGAAATGCAAATCAAAACCACAATGAGATACCATCTCACACCAGTGAGAATAGTTATTATTAAAAAGTCAAAGAACAACAGATATTGGTGAGGCTGTAGAGAAAAGGTAATGCTTATAGACTGTTGGTAGGAATGTAAATTAGTTCAGCCACTGTGGAAAGCAATTTGGAGATTGCTTAAAGAACTTAAAACAGAACTATCATTTGACCCAGCAATCTCATTACTGGATACATATCCAAAAATAATAATCATCATCATCATTTCACCAAAAAGAAGCATACCCACATCTTCATTGCAGCACTATTCATAATAGGAAAGACATGGAATCAACTGAGGTACCCATAAACAGTGGATTAGATAAAGAAAATGCAGTACATATATACTTTGGAATACCATGCAGCCGTAAAAAGGAGCAAAATTACGTCTTTTGCAGCAACATGAATGCAGTTGGTGGCCATTATCCTAAGTGAATTAACACAGGAACAGAAAACCAAATACTCCATGTTCTCATTTATAAGTAGGAGCTGAAATATTGGGTACTTATGGACATAAAGATGACAATAGCAGATATTGGGGACCATTGGGAGGGGAGGAAGGACAAGAGTTGAAAAACTGTTGGGTACTATGCTCAGTACCTGGGTGATGGGATCATTTGTACCCCAAACCTCACCATCACGCAATATATCCAGGTAACAAACCTGCACATGTATCCACTGTATCTAAAAGTTGAAAAATAAAAGAAATTTAATAAACAGTTAAGAGTTTAAACATTCCAGGAATTTTACAACATTGAGGAAGAAATTCCAGGTTAATCTGTCCTGTCCCTCAAAAACAATTAACTTATTTTATATATATATATATATTATATAGAGAGAGACATTAAAGTTAACAAATATTTTCCTGTTTCCCATTAGAAGGAAAAAAATCTATTTTCTTATAAGAATTGGTGAAATTCCAGATAATTTACTGTAATTGCTGGGTATTATAAGAAATATTTAAATTCAACACTCAAATTTTGGCAAGAGAAAACAAACTAGTCATATATCCACCCAGTTCTGATAAATAATTACAAATACAGTAACCCTGTATAATTAGTAGTACATGCAGGCAATGCTGAAGATATAAATACCACAGACAAATTAAAACTGATTTCTTTTTATTGTGATAAAATATAAATAACATAAAATTTACCATCTTAACCATTTAAAAGTGCATAATTAAGGTGTATTAAGTACATTCACGATGTTATACAGCGATCATCACTATTCATTTCTAACTCTTTCATCATCCCAAACAGTTAATTGTATTCATTAAACAACTGACTATTCCCTCTTCCATCTAGCCCCTGTAATCTCTATTCTACTTTCTGTCTCTATGAGTTTGTCTACTCTAGTTACTTCACATATAGGGAAATCACACAATATTTGTCTTTTGGGCCTGGCTTATTTTACTTAGCAGAATGTTTTCAAAGTTCATTCCTTTTTATGGCCGAATAATATTCCATTGTAAGCATATATAGTTAAAGTGGATTTTATCCTCCAATAGTGGTTTCAATCAACCAATGAAAGGCCCTGTATACTATTATTCCATTTTCTTTGCTAAAGGGCATATAATTCCCAAAGCCTTGAAATGGAGATATAATCCTAACTAAATAATACATTTAAATACAGAGTCCAAATGTAAAACATTACTAACTTTAAAATATAATGTTAAAACTATTTCTTTGATGTTATGAAGTTAAAACATTATTTTCCCCTTAAATTCTAATATTGTTTTAAAGTATACATTATTGAGGTGGGGCTTCGTATTTATGCCTGTAATCCCAGCAGTTTAGGAAGAATTCTTGAGGCCAATAATTTGGGACCAGTCTGGGCAACATAGCAAGATCACAGCTCTACAAATTTTTTTTTTTTAATTAGCTGGTCGTGGCATGTGCTTATAGTCCTAGCTACCTGGGAGGCTAAGATAGGAGGATCACTCAAGTCCGGGAGTTTGTGGTTACAGTGGGCTATGACTGTACCACTGCACTCCAGCCTAGGTGACAGAGTGAGACCCTGTTTCTAATTATTCTAGTAACAGTACAGTCTATTCTGCTATAACACTTGTTTTAAAAATGCAAATAACGTTCTAAAGTAACTGATACATTAGGGAACAATTTGAGTATAATGTGACTTTAATGCACATAAAATGCTAACTAAATCCAGAATATTGCATACAGCTAATCTGAACCACCCAGGAGCATATAAACTAGACAAGCATATATATCGCAAAACATTTCTAGTGACTTCAGTTCACTGCAAATGTTGCAAACAACTTCCATCCACATCTGGTGTTAAAACTTTTCATGGATTTCTTATTGCCCTCTTACTGCCATTTCATAATAACTCATGAATTGCAACTCTTCTGAAGCTCACTTGAGCAGCAAACTCCAGGTTTTGCAAATGTACAATGTCAGACTTACTGTAATATTTGTGTAGTTTTAAACCAATTAACATGTAAAACTGTGCTACTGTTTCTATTAGGTTCCTATCTTTTTTTTTTTTTTTTTTTTGAGACTGAGCCTGGCTCTATTGCCCAGGCTGGAGTGCAGTGGCGCCATCTCATCTCATTTCAACCTCTGCCACCAGGGTTTAAGTGACTCTGGTGCCTCAGCCTCCCAAGTAGCTGGGATTACAGGTACCCACCACCACGCCTGGCTAATTTTTGTATTTTTAGTAGAGACGGGGTTTCAACGTGTTGGCTCCTATCTTTTTTTAATGTGTCATTGAAGCTTTTGAGCATTGTGCTCTAATCCCATTGCTTCCCTATAAACCCTGTCATAGTTAAAAATATGTTTTATTGCAGCAGAATTGACTATAAAATCTGAGCGTCTTTCATTATGAAAACAACTGCATGTTGAAAAAAAGCTCAGAGAATTGGGGTTAGCGTTAAATGTTTCCACAGAAACTGCAGATGCTAAAAAATATGGAACAAAATTATGCTAAATGCATCATTACTATTCCTATAACAGAATAAAAATGTTGAAATAGACAGATCTGAAATAATCGTATCTCAGCATGTATTCGAATTGAACTCATGACAAAAGGCACTGATAAAACCCATCATTCAAGTATCTCAGAGTTTTAGTATAAACTATGAAACTTTTTTCTTGGCAGGTCATTTTCTGTAATAAGTTGAAACTTTTACATGAAAGGGAAATATAACCAGAACCCTAAATAAAGTACTTTATATCAGCTATTTCCTCACCAGTCTTTGGTTAAATTATGATTTCAGCTTCATTAGTCTTTAATTTTCATGACTGCTTGGGCAACTGAATGCTTCTACCCAAGAGTTTTAATTTGAGGCAACTGACTTAATGGATCTGAGACAAGTGACACAATGAAGTGGGGACAGTTAATTCACTCTGCTGTCAGAATCCAGTTTCCAGGGGCACTGATGTCACTGGCAGCAGCAGCCCAAACACGGTCTGGCCTTGTGCAGGATCTTGGATATGGGTTCCCTGGGTCATTTCTATTTTCTGACCCTTATTATGCAGGTTTTGCTTAGATTCAGTGAGCTACCTGATATCTTTCCTTTTCTGCCTAAATTAACTAGTCAGTTTCTATGGTTTGGAATAAGAACCCTGGCCTATACAATGGTACTCGGAATCCATGTCAAACTGACTATAGCAGGGCTATATTGTGAGGCCCTACTCAGCTAAGTTACCTACTTCCCTGCCTTAGGCTCCTGTGCAGCTCTTCGCTCCATTCCTTTCTGAAGTTTGCTAAGGCCCAGGGTAAAACAGTGTGCCTATCTCAAAATTTTCCTTTCTAATCATGACCTGCAATCCAAAAGGCATTAAATAAAAACTTAACAAATGTGACATCAGAAAATAACTGGCAAAAACCACCAAAAACAAATTCAAAAGACACATGGAAACTTAAGAAAAAATATTTGCACCTCATAGGAACAAAAAAGGGCAATTATCCCTATGTATACAGCTTAGCAAATCATTAAGAAAAAGACTAGTAACCAATAGGAAAAAAATGGGGAACGGAAGTTCACAGAAAAGGAAATAGAAATGACTCTGAAACATGTCGAGATATGCTCAGTCTTATTTAAAACAACAGGTAAAATGTACATTAAAAACTATACTGGGATTCCATTTTCACTTATCAGAGTAGCAGAGATTGAAAAGGTTGAAGGAAGGGTAGGGAGGCATACTCTCATACATTGCGGGTAGGAGCATAAATTAGTACTATCTCTATGGAAAGAAAGCTGACAAAACCTGTCCGAATTACAAATGTACACACCTCTCTAATATGGCAATCTCACGTTTGGGAATGAGTCCTCCCAATTTATTT